AGCAGATCTATATACCATTGCAAAGAACGAAAGATACTGATCCCAATCTCGCTGATGGTTGAATAACAAGTATTTACCAATTGTCTTATTCATTCGCTCTACCATTCCATCCGACTGTGAGTTCAATGTCGTAGTTCTGGTTTTCTTCATGCTTAGTCTGTCACAGATTTCTAGGAAAAGTTGGCTTTCAAAGTTTTTGCCTTGGTCACTGTGGATCTCTAAGGGCATTCCAAATCTACCAATTCTTTTATTAACACGTCTGCAACAGTTTCGGCCTCTTGATAGTTGTTACTGTTATTTTTAAATAATACCTTAAAATAACAGGTTGTCGTTATTTTTAACTCTAGGGGTTGAACTAGGAAACTACATAGTGAATGCCGTGCATCTACTTAAAACCAAATAACGAATATAACAATATCCGACCATTTCTCAATGTCAGTAGACTTGGAATGGCCCAGAGTTCAGCGCCCAGAAACGCATGCGACATTGAAACAGCTGTAGTAAATAATACCTAAATAACGATTGCTAGTAGCGTTATTAAAATAACGCTTGTAGCGCATGTTATTGCAAATTTGGCGGCGCGATCGACAGCAATGAATGGCATGGTATCGACCAATACGTTCTCGTTAAGTCGCATTTCGCGAGGAAGCAACCGTTTTGTATTGTAGCGTTATTTTGCATCTGTTATTTTTGAACTAGATTCAGTTGTAACCGTTGTCTTCCAAATAACAGCTTAAAAATAACAGATAGTTAAATAACAACACATGATTGATTTGGAATGGAGTAGACGTCCACCTACTTGGTGAAATAACCCATAACCACCAACAAATGGGCTACCGACGTTGTACGCTTCATGGGGTTTCGTTACTTATAGCACAGGTGGTACATTTCTTTACATTATCGAAACTGTTCATCCAATAAAACCTTTCACGAACTCTCTGAAGGCTTTTCTTAATACCGAGATGTCCTCCTGATGGACTGTCATGTAACTGACAAAGTACTCTATATACTCTAGACTTTGGAATGACCAACTGTCGGAACATTATCAATCTTTTGGGACTCGCTTTAATAAACCTTCTTCCAGGATAAAAGAGTCCCATTGAGCCAAATATGACTTAACTACTGGAGAGAGATTTGATACTTCGTCAAGTAGGTCGACGATTTTCCTCTTTCCATTGTCGCATCTTCTTTAAAACGGGATCGTTATCTTCTTCTTACCTAAATTGGGCAGGGGCTCACTCATCGTTGACTACAGTTTTTCTTAGTAGTCCACTACTTTTGGATTCTGCTCTGTTGCAGTGAGAGCACTCTGCTAGTCACGGGCTTCTAGAAAGCGAGTCGGCTTTTATGTGACTTATTCCGGCTGTATTTGATCGTAAAGTCGTACTCCTGAAGTCGTTTGATTCATCTGGTGATATGGCCCTCCGGGTTCTTGGACTGCATCAGTCACTTAAGTGATAGTTGGTCCCGATTAGAATGTTTTTTCATTATCCAGAATAAATTCTGCCTCTGATAGTGGATAGCCTAGAATTAGAGCTGTTGTTAAAAGATTTTTAATGTTTCAAAGGCAGTTTGACAGCCTTCGTCCCAGCAGAATTCTCTCGCTTCTTTTGTGATTCGTGTTAATGGCTTAGCAATATCTGCGAACTTCCTTATGAATCTTCGGTAGTACGTACAAAGTTCTTATTTGATGTTTGTCATTTGGTTGTGGCCATTATTTGATGGAAGCGACTTTCTGACTTTCTCCCTATCTACAGCCACGCCATCCTTGCTGACCATATGACCCAGGTAAATAACTTTATTTTGGGGATTAGCATCATTTAGGCAACTTGGAGTCTTTTAAAAACATCTTCTAAGTTCTTTAGATGTTCATCAAATGACTTCCCCAAGACTATGATGTCGTCTAATGAAACCAGGCATGTTTTTCAGGATAACCCTCTCAATACGTTTTCCATGTCTTTAAAATGTCACGATGGCATTAAATAGCCCAAATGGCATAACATTGAATTGACAAAATCCAGATCCGGTGGTAAAACCTGTATTTTTTTTATCTACTGGGTCCATTTCCACCTGCCAATATCCAGATTTCAAGTCTAAGGTAGATAATAGTTTACTTCCGGCCAATGTGTCCAAGGCATCGTCGATTCAAAGCATCATCCTTCTTTTGGACCGGAGAGATCCATGGGCTAGTAGAAGTTTCTATCACCCTGTCTTCCTTTATTTCCTGAACAATTCTTTCAGCTTTCTCTCTCTTGGCCTTTAGTAATCTTCGAGCTGATTGACGAGTCGGTATGGCGTCACCAGTATCAATTTTATGTTTCAGAACAGATGTTCTTCCTGTTTTTCCTCCTTTTGGTACAAAAATGTCACTATATCGTCGAAGAAATTTCGTTATTGATTCATAGATTGACTAGCAACTGAAATCATTTGCTCGAATTTGTCTTTGGAATTATCAGAAGTTGTTATCTAACGAATTATGAAAGTTACTGGTACCTGTTCATCGTGGTTCCAAGGTTCCCTCATGACAGGTGTTCCTTCTTCCATAGTTTCTTGAAGCCGTGCTACTATAATAGTTTAACTTTTGCCAGATACCATCGTATCCTCCTATACATCAAATGTCACGGTACTGTCCCCATATGGATGTAGGAATACCTCTTCGGCACCAACTTTGATCACTCTGTTTTTAAAATCCAACTGGAAACCATTCGTTTGCTCCGGCAGCTGTTTTGAACTGTTTAAGGAAGTTGATCCATACCATCTTCCCATTGAAAGTTGGGGCTTTAACATGGGCAGAATTTATAACTCCTTCCAACTTTGACTTCACCTCATGGCAATTTATTTCGCCGTCCTTGGCCTGTTCAGTATGTTCCATGTCTTCTCTTTTCTTTTCCATTTCTTTCATTTTCTACTGAATAGAAGACATTATTTTCTCCTGAACGGAAGTCATCTTATATTCCACATCGGCAGAAATTTCATTTTTTAGAAAAGACATATCAGAAGGGAAGGAATTCATCGATGTGAAACATGTATACCCAAGAATGGAAGACATATTGAACAATTTCAGTAGTTTGTTAGGGACTTTTTGTCTAAATATTTTCTGCTCTACTATATTTGAACTAAGTAAATGGCAGCAAATAAATACCTTTTATTATCAATTTTGAGAAATTTAGAATAATACATTTTGTGCTAACATCATTTAGCTGTTTCCACGAGTTGAAAAATTTTTATTGGTTGTAGGTAAGTACCTACATTTAAAAATAAGTACCTACATACATTAAAAAAATACGAGTTTATTAAAAGAAAATATCTGATGATGAGTTTCAGGGTCAAAACGTTAGAGGTAAATTGGCATATGTATATAAATTCTTGAAGGTTATTAAATTCTCTACAACTTCCTTTGAGTGAATTTACTTCTCTGGTCATGACAGGATATTCGATAGTGGCTCTTTGACCAGTAGTACCGTTTGAACTATAAATTCTATACAAAAACAGAAGGCATTTCAATATAGAATATTGTAGACATTTTATTTAATTCAGCTATTTAATATAATAATGCAGAAAAAATGTTTTCTTCAAAAAAATTATTCATAAAATATTCTAAATTAACTTGTAAAAGCAAAAAATTACAATGAATACTGAATAGGGAATACCAGCAATGCGAGACTAGCCTCATTGTACATGTCCACTCGTTGAGTATGTAATAAGCGATCATCGGTGTCTCCATATATCAACGCGGGACGGAGCCCTCCTGGACTGTTGTAATTTGGGTCTGCGGCAGTTAAAAGCCTTTTGACTTTTACCCAATACAGTTACTTACCCTTCATAAGGCCATCATCAAGCAACATAATGCTGGGCCATTATCGAAAGGCCAAAAGTAGGCTTTTATATTTTAATCGTAGCATTTCAATTACAGCAAAATGCCAGCAATATCCCAGCAATTTATTGTTTGTTGGGAATCGCTTAGGTCCCTGCTCACGCACTCTACACCCCTTTTTGGGCCATTCGTTAACTGAACTATAAGGAATAAAAATAAAATGAGTTTTAGATTAACATAATAGTTTTATTTATAACAAATGATTGAGTATTTACATATTAATATCAGTGAAAAGGATAAATACAACATATAACATTATATAAAATTACATATTAACAATAAGGACAGAATAAAAAAAATACATAATAATAAATCATATATTAGTGAATAAATATGTGACGCCTTTCATAATATTATTAATAGTGGAATTTCGAGAGCAATAATTAATTTAAGTTTTTAAAAAATTAGTGAATTAATTAATTTAAAATAAATCATTATAAGAGTGTATTAAAAAAAAACTTTTAACTAGAAAATTTTTACATTTCGGTATTAATAGTAACACTAGCCTTAAAATGTCATAACCTAAAATTAGTTCTCAGTAGTGGTTAGTTCATAATGCATACGTATAACAACAGTTATGGTAAAACAAAAAAAAAATCAGGTGACTGGGTTATAATACCAAAAAACGATTGGTAGATTGTAAATGTAAACAAGCAACGAAAATTTTAAATTACAATTTTCTCCAATTCTGTGTTTGTTTAAACTAGTTTAGTGTGTATTGTTTATTTTAAGTAGGTATTGGATAGGTAAATGGGTATAATTTATGGATATTATTTAAATAAATATTCCCAAAATGTACGGGTATTCAAATATTATTATACATTGAATAATAAAGCTTGATTTACGAGGTCCAGTCAAAAAATAATCGGAAAAGTGTTTTTTAGATTTATTACGATACAACTACTTTTAAGTAGCTCTCAGGAGATGTTGATGCTGCCATCTAGTGAGTAGGTATTATCCGCCATTGATAAATGTTGCTAATATCTGTGGAATTACATAAAATGCCATTAAATATTCTGGAATAATTAAATTTTTCGTACATTTGACAACATTTGTTGTCCATGAAATTTTAATTTGACTCTATATGGACACTGCGGTTTTAAAAGATATCTAAATCTCTTAGAGAAATGTTTTGAATCTCTATCTATCTCTCATCTGTTACTCACAAACTTAAACATTTTCTTCTTCGGATCTTTTAGCTTTTTATTTGTATATGCTCTTTCAATGGAGTGTGATTCTTTTTTTATTCCTTCTAAAATGGGATACCTTATTTTTGTGTCTTCTTCTTCCTCTTTTTCTTAGAGTTTTTGTCCTGCTTTTCTAAAAATACACTTGTTTCTCAGTGTTTACATTTTCGCAAGAACATTTTTCAATTATTTATCATAATTTGAAAGGTCTAAGTATATATCTGGAGCATTTAGGCCTCATTTGACCTATTGAGCATCCTCCACGAAAGACTTTGAACTCATTAGTCAGTCTATTGTTTTAAAGTACCTTGGTAGTTGATAATAGGAACAGGAATACCTTAAGACATGATTTTAGTCCTGCTACAGTTTTGCCCAGACATGGTATCCTTTGGTTTTTATTTTTTTGAGCTGATACATAAATAGATTAGTCACTTTTACGAAAATTTTATTACTGGTTATAAAGGTTTATTTTAATAAATATATTGAATTTGTACTATGAAATACCAAGTATTTTGTCGGGTAAGAGTAAAAATTTACCCAATAGTATATTATATGTAGAGAGAGCAGAGTTTGTTGACATATTTCGAATAAATATCCACTTTTATATACGAAACAAAAAATAATAGAACGTTTTCCTTAATTTTCATCAGAAGAAAACTGATACCTGGGACTCCTAGACGTCACTCGAAACTCCACCGGCATATCGTAACATTTACAAATACAACACGAAGGAAATTTGAACCAATCAGAAAAAATTCCTCTGCACTCGTTGCTGGGATCGTAGGCCAACAATCTGTGAAGCCGGTACTGCTGTTCGCACCTACAGCCGTCCCTGCAATACATCTGGCGGTGTTCGAACGTGCATTTTTCCCAGTGTACGTACTGTTCGAAGGGGTACATGTTGAGGAGGGCGAGGACTTCGCCGCGTGTGTTGTTGGCCCAAAAGGGGGCCACTACTTCTTCGCGCACAGGACAGGCGTTGCTAAAAGTGAAAGAAAATTAATTTTTACCGTTATCGTGATAGATTAGATTAGAATAGAATACAAAAAACAACTTTTTTTAAATACTGATTATTAGATTCGTGTTATTTTATCGACGCCCGTGAGATAAGAGCTTCTTATCTTATTTTACGTGAGATAATCAATCAAGTAAAAAAGTCAAAAAGTCAAAATGTCAAAATTTATTTAAATTTAATAACAAATTACTGTCACAATATAAAGTGACACCCAACTATATGTAAAGCTTGTTCTTCAATATCAGATGGCAAACTTTCCGAATCACTCATTTTATTACCAGAAAATTAATCATTTTTGACTTATTGTTTATGAAAATATTATCGTTGCTAAGAAACCAGAACGTTTTTATTCAATTGTTAGAATCGCCACCCAACATTTCGATGTGTGGCCATGGTGTCGTCAATCGACATGTAGGCAATAACCCTAAATTAAGTCTTAGACAAAAATTTTATATCCGTTTATTTTTACATTTAGAGGCGTAGATAAAAATTTGTACAATATACGTATGATAACGCTTTATTAAGGTACTTCTGCGATGGCGAATTTCACATGCGTACGTTAATAAAGCTCTTATCCTACTTATATCAATTCTTCACAATAATCACTCATTTTTAATTATGTTTAATTTCAATAACTAAAAAATATACTGACAATAAATTTGACAGAATTATCAGTTATTTAAAATAAAAAAAATAAAAGATGGTTACCAAATAATATAAACTGATTGGTACAGTTCATATCCGTACAGTGTCCATTCTACATAGAATGTATATTAAACTATATCCATTCAGTACCGGAGGGTTCAATGCCTATCGAGCACGTCTTCAGGTGATGGATAGGAGAAAGGCCAGATTATCTGGCTAGAAGCAGATATAAGTAGGGGGTGAGGACTTAAAAACCCCCAAAATCTTTTGCGAAAACTTCCGTCGCGAACCAACTCCCCAAGTGACGCGTCCTGTGACGAAGGTACCTGGGGTTAAGGTATTTAAAACGGATCTTCTGGGATACCGGGTCATCTCCCAGAGTATCAACCTTACTGCGGAATGCGGATCTCTGTCGTAACGTACTGTTTTTTCCTAGCTTCTCGTGGTACCAACAAAAAAGTAAGGCAATAGCGTCAACTTGGTAAGGGAAACAACGAAGGTAATGCTTGTTTCGAAGAGTTAGCAAAGTTATCGTTTTTTCCCTGGAAGGGGTAAACCAAATACCCGAAGACGAGGTAAACTCTGTCCGTCTAAGTGGACATTCTAGACTAAAGGAGCTCTTGAAAACTGGCCTTAATTAAACAGCCACCAAAAAGTTGGGCAATTAACGAATATTTTTAAAAAGCCCAATCAAGTCAGCCGATTGAGGAAGAGGGCCAGAATTCTCGTTCAAAGAGGCCCTTACCTTAGTGTAGGTTGCAGAGGTAGCAGTAGGGTACACAATTAATAAAATGCGTCCAGAGAGACTATGGAAAGTCCAGGACTTGATGTCAAAGGCCCATGATAAAATATCCACACTGCCGTGTTAATTCAAATGGCCGTAACTGCAATTTTCCTTGAAATAAAGATATGGCCACTACGCATGACAACAATGAATTTTTTGTCCATCTCTATAACTTTCATGGATATATCTTCTATAAAACCCGAGATTTAAGGCTTAGAAATTTGGTCGTAAGTGAAAAATCGATTTTTCTCACGTTCAAGTATTAAACAGATACGGCCATTTGGGGTAGCTTGTTGGTGACTTGCGCGGGCCGTACCAGTACAGACTGGTTGCAGAACATCATCACAACCATCCAACACTGGGAAGGGGCATACCCTGAAAGCGTTGGAGGGAGACGATATCCTTAGGACACTAGCATGCACAACATTCGTCCCTGACGAAAAAGGACAAAGGTCCTAAGGGAAAAATCCTTAAAAGGCTGAAATAGCCAACACACCTTTGGATGGTGTGGGGTAAACCCGCCTTCCGAAAAAAGTCAAACGTGGTCTTTCTCGATAGACCCTGAATCTTTAGAGGAGCTAAAATTCAAAGTCAAAGGAGGACATGACCAACAAATTGCTGAAAAGGTGAATAACAAGCAGGGAAGAGGATATCAAAGAGTCATCTAAGGAGGAGGAAACCCTAGAAAAGGACGACGAGTCCCCTCAAGAGGCATGAAGCCCAAGAGGACACTGTACCTACGGAGATGGGAGAAACCTCGAAGGCAGACGAACTGCCTAGTTCAGAGAATATCTATAAGAACATGCGCAAAGTAGTGGATGTTAAAAAATCTCAGGAATGGTGGAAAAATTCACCAGGACACCGATAGACCAAATAGTTCCTAAAAGGACCATTGCCAAAACTCACCGAACATTAATAGGTAAAATACTAGAGTACTAGTTCTCCATTTTCTTGTGACTCCTTAAAACAATTATATTTTTTTTATAACTGTTTAAACCTTTATTTTTATTATTTTAACAGCTGCATTATTAATATTGACATCTGCTCTGATTTATTTCGAAAATGTCTACCAAATTTTAGCTCTTTAGATTTTACCGCTTTCAAATTAATTTCGAAGCAAAATTAAATGCAATTAAACTCTCGCCTTGAGAATAAAAATTACAGAGATAAATACTTACACTCCTTTGATATTGTAGTTGACATGCATCTTCTTCTTATTATTATTTTCCTCATTATCCATATCCTGAAATAACACAGTCTCCAAGTTCTCCTTTTCATCAGTTTTTTTAGCCTCCGACACACCTTCCGTCGTAGTGGTACTACTAGCCGTCGTAGTGGTACCGTCCTCCCTAGTTTCGTTCACTAAATAAGTGGTGCTTTCAGCGAAATTTTCAGTAGTACTAACCTCATCCGACGTATCATCGTACGCCTCTGTCGTGGTGGTAGGGGGTTCTTCGTACTTTTTCATAGGGGTACTTTTGGTGGTACGATCCGTGTTTTGACGGAAATGCGGCGCCGTTTGCAAACCGGCTAGTTTAATGGAGATAATTGGTTCTTCCGAGTAGATGAATTTGGTGTTAAGGATGTCATCGTTTGCTAAATCGTCGCGCAAAAATCTAGCTTCGCTTTCCACTTCGTTATCTTCATTTTCCGCTTGTTCAAAATGGTATCTGGAAAAATTCAAAGAGAAAAATTAAAAGGAGGAGGACGTTTTTGGGATGAAATACAAATGGGGAGAGGGATTTATGTTTAAAATTAAAAGTTTTCAAATATTTCTTATTTTTATTGGTTTCATTTGGTTTAATTTATTAAATAAAACTTTCATTTGAGGTTTCATTTTAAAATTATATCAAATTTAATCAAAGTGAGAAATAAATTACTTCCTCGCTCTGTTAAGTTTTTTGTTACTTTCTTATATTCTAAATTTATCCCAAATACCTACTTAGCTAATATTTGAATGCACAATTATTAAAATCAGACTTTTATAAATAATGTATTTATGTAAACACCCGTATAATCCACGCCACTATTTATTTTCAGATAAAAACTCCTCGATCAAATTTAATGAATCCGAATTTTACACTTTGTGCATGCACCTCTAAAATCTAGTGACCAATATAATTATTACCATGACAACTTCTAATGAATTATTATTATTAATCAAGTAGGTACATGTCGAGTTTTTGTAAGTACTCTATGAATTAATGTCATGGAAAGAATTTTGTGTGATTTCTCAGCTGTTTATATCGAAGTAAACGTTGCATAGTTGTCATAGCGACATTTAAAAATTAATTATTATAAAGTAGCTGAACTGTCAAAATGTATCTGTTTTAGAAATAGTAGGTACTTAAGTTTTAGAACATATTTTGGAATATACATAGAGAATTTAAGATATTAACGATGCAGGAATTAATAAAGTATTTAAAAACGCGTTAATTACCATATGCACGTTTTAATACCGAAGATTTTGGGTAAAAATAAATAGCAAATAGAAAAAACATCTGGGAAGAATTATCATAAAGATAAACAAAAGTAAGAAATCAGAAGGAATGCTCTAAATTTGTGTATAATCTATGTTTGTTTTGAGTAAAATGATAATAATAATTGGTAATTATGGGTTTATTATTAAAAAGTATAACGATTGAGGATAATTAAATAGATAACATAAACTATAAATACAAGCGAAAATGTATCTGACCCATGATCAGAAACGTTCGGAACCCTCAATCTTTAATTAGGCGAAAAACAATTGTGTATCACACATGCAGAATATGCTTTAGCAGCCCTTAGCTATCAGCTGTTCTCGCTTCGCTTCGCTCGCTCATGCAGCTAATAGCCGTGAGCTGCTAAAGTTCATTTTCTGCCCTTGTGACACAATATACTATAAATCCAGCCGGCAACATACAAAAAAAAACTAAGGACACTGATACATTTAATATAGTAGAGGAGCATTCAAGAGGATGGGTAATCCTTATTTATTTTTACTTCCCTCGATAAAAGGAAAGTATTGTAATCGTGAAAATTTAGATTTTCACGTTTTCTGGTCCCTAGATTACAAAAAATATGTTTTCCCCATTCGTCGGTCTGTCTACCTTCCGCCGTCTGTTGTCTGCCGTCTGTCTGTTGGCGCGATAGCTCAAAAGCGGCTTAAGAGAAAAACTTCAAATTTTGTATGCAGCTAAGGCTTCCTCTTGGCTCAAAACCGGTTAAACTTCCGGTCAGATATACACAGGGTGAGCAATTAAAAAAACATTTATTTTTAAAAGTCAGCAGAATTCGACTAAAATTGGTTTCTAATAAAATTGTTATCTTATCAAAGATAACAGGTCATGAATTATTTTTTAAAAATTCAAAATGGCTTCCCTGTTTTTACAATTTATATAGGGTGTTTTTAATGGTATGCTAATATTGTAGGGTGTGATTTCTCAGTCACTTTATGAAGAAAAGTTTATATGAACAAATGTCTGCAACGGCTTCAATTTTTTGCTACAGGGAGTTAAAAATTTGTTTTTTAAAGAGATATTTTTTAATATCTCTGAAAATAGTTTAGATATAATTTTTAATTTTGACTTGTGTTAATAGGATATAAAACCACATATTTTAGTTAGAAAATTTATTTTATTGCTCTACCAGTAGCGTATCTGCAAACATGTCATCTGATATTTTCTACAAAAAAAGTAGTACGACACTGACATTTTTCCATGTTAATATTTTTACTTATTTGACTGGTCAAGTCTACATCAATAGGGCATCTTTTATTTTTCTCGCCAATTGCTCGGTTCTAGATTAAAATAATTAAAATTAATCGTCAATACTGCAAAATAAAGGAATTTTAATTTAATTGATGAACGATAAAATAAACGCCACTGGTGAAGCAATAGAATAAGTTTTATGTCTAAAGTATGTGGTTTTATATCCTATTAAAAATAAAAAAATAAGGGGGAAATCTCAATACAGTCCATCGTATTCAGCAATACTATCTATGGCGTATACTTTTTTAAATTGTTTCCTCCGTAAAACTTTAAGAAGTTATTTTTTCTTAAAATAGCTGTCTTGAAAATACAAATCATTGCCCATTAGAAACTTTTGTATATCCGCTTTCGTCATCGTGTTGAATGTACTCCTAAACAATCTGCGTCTTGACTAACTCGTCGGCAGTTATAAACGGGTCTTACTCAATGCAGTGCAGGTGGCTGGAAATACAACCGGCAGGAGCGGACTAGGTTTGTGAATAAACTTTTAGAAAATTAACTTAGTTCGTTGTACATTCTTTTTCTGATTTTTAAAATGTGAGATAAAAAGGAGGTGGTGAAGAAAATCGTGCAACTAAGCACACCCAAAGCTAGACAAATTTTCTTGTATTTACGCCTTATGTTTGGAATTATCTCAAAACGAAAGAAAGTGTTACACATATCTAAATATTACGTTGAATATTATAAATCAAAACAAGACGTTGATGTTGCTTGAACAGCATTTTCTCGAGAAAATATTGGGTGATATGAATAAAAATCTGTCCAACACATGACTTTCCTATCTAGTTATTACAGGCTTCTTCGGGTTATTTTGTACAATCTATATTGCAGCATAAACTAAATATATACATTTTCCACATACTTCTAACTCGAAACATTTTCGTTGGCAATGAATATCTAATATATAAAATTCTCGTGTCACAATGTTCGTTTCCATACTCCGCCGAAACGGCTCGACCGATTCTTATGAAATTTTTTATGCATAAGTCTGAGAATTGGCTACTATCTATCTTTCAAACCCCTAAGTGATAGGGGGTGTCCACCCCAATTTTTTTTTTTATTTTTTGAAATTTTTTTTTTTATTTTTTTATTATGTGCATTAAAAATACATACAATCCTTAATTTTCAACCCCTTAAATGTGAAGGGTGATCCAACCCTAATTTTTTTAATTTTTTACACAAAATTTTGTTTTTATTTTTTTATGATACAGTATACAAAAATACATACAACCCTCAATTTTCACCCCTCTAAGATCAACCCCCATTTTTTATTTGTTAATTAAAAACTTTATAGTTAACATATTCACCTCTGCTGAGCAAAACAATCAATGCTCATATTAATGTTGAGTCATGCAGTTCGGTGGAGAGTATTAAATATTTTTGCAAGTATGTGAATAAAGGAAGTGATATGGCTGTATTTAGAATTGAAAATACTAATGTAAATGCTCCTCCGTTGAATCAAAATGATGAAATTACGAATTACCAAATTGGCCGGTGGCAGTTCCAATGAAGCTGTCTGGCGTATTTTCGGTTTCCCAATTCATGAACGGGATCCATTTAGCTGTCCACCTGGAAAACGGCCAGCGCGTATATTTCACGAACGATACAGCGCTGATCGTGCTATAAATCCACCAAAAACTACGCTCACCGAATTTTTTGAACTGTGCAATCGTGATAGTACAAATATGAATAATTATTTTTGATGTTTAGATAGCTATCAAGAATTGTAATTTAAAATATATTCCTTACTTTAATAAAGATTAATTTATTAACCTAAATAAAGCATACTTTCATTGTTTACAACGCTTTCGGTTATAAGTACATCCCCACACACTTATAGTAGATAATTATTTTTATTGAACTAAAAAAATGTTTCCTAGAAATAATATACATGGCAAAACAACGTTTAGTATACATATAAAAATGTATTTTGAATACGGTGGCGACCACAAAGCATGTATCTTCTAGAGACCCCACGCCAATGTTAAACTTTTAAACCAAATTATCGCCACCTTGTGTTTGGAGCTGGAACTAAAATGACAATTGACAGATGGCGGTAAATTCAAATTGTAATTTTAGGAGTAGGTAGTAGTTTTAAATTAAATTTTAAATGATTTCCACATAAATTATTTTATAAAATAAAGTATGGAACTAGTAAGTTCGAAACTTTTATTTTACAAAATAATTTAGGTCGATTATACCAAATTTGAAGAATTAATTTGTTATAAGGGGTCTAATGTGGAGAGTTGGTTCTGCATATTTTTATTAAATAAATATAAGATATATCAATAAATAATAAAATAGAACATTCTTAAAATATGTTTATTAATAACTTAAATAAATATTATTAGATAAAAATAAATACAAATAATAATACATATTTAACGAATACTTACTTGGAGCAAATAGATATATAATCTCAAATCTTTAAAATACCTATCAATAATTTAAATGTGAAGTAGAGACTAGGATATTACATTTTATTAACACTAAAGTTATATATTTTATAAATGTCTTTTTAACTGAGGACAAATGTAATATAGGTATTGTATTAAAAGGTGAATCCTTTTAACTATTCATTCAATGATAAATAGGTATTTTCCTTCCAAATACAGATGGTGGTATTACTCTCTTATGTGAAAAATGATTTCGGAATCTAGTCCTGTGATAAATTGATTATTAATTAGTTGTTGTCCCCGTTTGTCTTTTTATGATGCAGATGCATGGTGAATATATGGTGAATCAATGAAGTTTTTCTCCAAGTTTTCAACGTAGCACCAAAATTATTGTAAAACACAGTAGGAAATAAAAAAGCGAAACATCACAATTTTGCAAATAACTAAGACGAAACTATAAACAGAAACCAAAAGCCAAAGCAACAAAAAATCACTAAAATCAGACGGAAAAATGAAACTAACCAAGGACATAAATAAATACACGTCACATCTTTGGAGTCTTTGGTTAAGTTTTTCTCCCATAAGGCTTAAAAATGGAGTAAGAAATCATAATTTCACCAGTAGCCCCATCTAGAGTTTGGAGCAAATAGCATAAAAAATGTCAGTTGTCGGTTTTGACCTTGGTCATTCACGTGGAACCTCTATGTGCTTTGTGGTGGCGACGGTTTTTATCAAATTGTGACAAAGCAGATCCGTAAATTACATCGCCGTAATTTAGTTGCGAAAGAACCAGACTGTCACATAGTACTATTTTTGCCTGCTTATTTATTAAGTGTATAATAATAATAATAATAATAACAGGACTTTATTCATCACTTAAAAAGGAAAATATACAGTAAATTATGCGAGGAAAGACATATTTAAAAATGATGAAAGGGCGAAGTTCAGTTTTCACTGTTTTTCAACTTAACCTAACTTATGTGTGAATATATAAGTTTTAGGTTTGAGAAAGCTTTTCTTACAACAAAAGATGTATTCTGAGAAAATGTGAGAGAATTATCAATATATATTCCCAAATTTTTTTCACAATCTGAAAAATGAATTGGTTTATTATCAATCTGAACAACAATAGAATTTTTTAAACGATTCCTAGCTAACTTACGACCAAATGATTTAGTGACGTTAATTGATAGACAGAATTTTGGGGTCAAGTCTGATAATGTTCTCAAGTCATAATTTATATTATAGGAAGCTTCTTCAATTTCAGATGCTTTAAAATCAAGATACAGTTGTGTATCATGTGCATAAAAATGTGATTTCATATATTTAAGGTGTCTATGAAATTGAGAAGTATATAACGAGAATAAGAGAGGCCCTAGAATAGACCCTTGAGGTACGCCGCGCGTGATTAGAATATCGTTTGAACTTTTTTGACCTAAAACTACCTTTTGTGTCCTTTGGTCTAAATATGATTGAAGCAGATTTAAAGAAGAAATGCCAAATCCTATATAATGACAAATAGATCTAAGCAGACTGTGATTAATTTTGTCAAATGCTTTAGAATAGTCTAACAGTACTATTATACAAAGCTGGTTAAGATCAATTGCATGATAAATATCATCTAAAACCTTAAGCAGTGCAGTAGTACAGCTTTGATTTGGACGAAAGCCTGACTGATTTATAGGTATTATATCAAATCGGTAGATGTGAAGTTTTATTTGTTTTGCCATTATTTTTTCTAATACTTTGGACAGTGTACAAAGAATGCTTATAGGTCTTGGCAATTTTCCAATAGATTGTCTATTTTTGGGAGTGGTATTACTCTAGATTTTTTCCACAGTGAAGGAAAGGTAGAGTTACTGAGACAGTAGTTAAACATATGCGTTAGGTACTGTAGAATAAATAGACAGCAGTAGAGTAGCATAGTAAGTAAATGAATGAATATACAAATTAAATATATTAAATTTAAGGTATGACAGAGATCACAATATATGATAGAAATGGTTTCATTGCCTAGTTATAAAAAACAGTCCAATATTAGAACATGAAGAAATTACGAAAAACAAGAAAATCAATTTCTAGATAACTACCTTGAATATCTCAGGCTATTTTCAATGGGCGCCAATACTTCAGGCTCGTCTTGAAATTCGGTTTTCAGCACGTGTCCATGTCTTTGGTCTCCATACATCCTACGCATCAAGCCTTGGTTGTCTTTGATGAACCTCCGTACTGCATGCCAAGGATAGGTCTTGCCAGCCGAGGTGCAGTAGCCCTGCTTGACTAGGTCACAGGGGGGTTGGTACATCTTGCCTGAACGATATGGACGGCCGCAGGTTGATTGATCTCCACCGGAATCGTACCCATATTCTAAGGTACCATGAGCGTAAAACTGAAAATAATAATTACGTACTTTAACAATAAGGTTTTGAACACCAGAAGGAAAAGTTTATGTAAAATAATTTATTTAATAATGAAAAGTTTCAAAGATACTAAATTATCAACCCTAAACTTAAAATCCCCGTCAATTATGATCATAGAGCAGAGTAGAGTCAGGAAATGAGTACTCCAACAAAGAGGATATATTTAAGGATGATTTAAAATAAACACTTCATACAATAACGCTATTAAATTGAGATTTCATTAGACAAATTAGCCGCCAAGAGAAATTATCTAGTATTTAACAAGTAATGGTAAAAAGAGAAAGAATATGCGTTTACTGTCTACAAACAAATAAATAGATGTGAAAGAAATTATCAAGGTGAGTCGTCGTCAAAATATTCTGTTGAGTCATAATATGCTGTGCAAGTTAGTCGTTCGTGAAGTTTTATTCTAAACGATTTAGAACAACTTTAATTTTTTATGGCAATAGGGAGTTTATTAAACATTTTGTTGCCATTATAAGCGAGTCCCTAACTAGGGTAGATTTAGGAGTAAGCAGGTATAAATTAGTTGCATTTCGCCCTGTACGATTGTTGTTGTTGTAAGCAATCTGTTAGTTAGTGTCTAACAGATATAAAGAGGTTAAAGTTAATATTTTGTGTTTGAGAAAAAGTGGTTTGCAAGAACAAAGGCTTTGACGCAGATACCGTAAAGCACGTTTTTAAAGTAAACATACACTATGGAAGAGCTCTTTGTTGCAGAAGCCCCAAAACTGAATTCCATATCTTAAATTAGATTCTATCAGTGCAAAATAAACATGTCTTGCTGAAGTGAATCCTAGCTCTTTGCATGTAGATCTGAGAGAAAAACAGCCAGATGATATTTTTTTATTTAGAATTTTAATATGGTTCTTAAATTTCAAGTCGGTGTCTATATTCAGCCCAAGAAATTTAATTCTATTATCTACTTGTAGTAAATCGCTTCCTAAATGTAGCTCTGTAAAATAACATTTAAAGATTAACAATTTAGATTTGGAGAGATTTAGACTAAGAAAATTTGAATCCTTGCAATGCCATAAGACAGTAGCGACGTTTGCAAAAAGAGTGAAGTTCCAGAAATGTCAAGGAGTGATAAATCATTAATGTAGATTAGGAAAAGGTAGGGACCTAACACCGACCCTTGGGGTACATCTCAGGTTACATTCATTATACTGGAAGAGTGACTAGTTCTGACTAGTATGTAGCTTCAAGGTATGTTTCAATCCACTTCAGAGCCCCATGTCTGACTCCATAATAGGAAAGTTTTTGCAGCAGTACTCCGTGATTTACACAATCGAATGCTTTAGTTAGATCACAGAATATCGCTGCCACTTTCTCACCTATATTAATATTATTGTAGATTCTCTCTAGGCAATTAAATATGGCATCTGAAGTATTAGTTTTACTCTTAAAGCCAAACTGTTTACTGCTAATTATGTTATTGGAGCTAAAAAACTTGTTAGACGAATTTTTATCAACTTTTACCTAATATGAGAATAAGAGAAAAGGGTCTAAAGTTGGAAGGATCTTTTTTATTACCGCTTTTATGGATGGGTATTACAACGCTGGTTTTTGAGAAATTAGGAAATACTCCGTCATGAAAGCTTTTATTAATTAATGAAGTTAGTGTGGACAGTGCAGAATCAGGTATAAATTTTTGTTGATAACTCATCATAACCTGCAGCGTTTTGATTTTTTATTGAATGTAATGCTACTTTTAACTCTTCTAAGGTGGTGGTATAAAAGACACAGCGGGTGGTAACATCAATTTCCTTGAGATAGAAAATAGTATCTTGTTTAGAGTTTAGTTAAATTGTGAGCAGTATTACAATAAAATAAGTTGAAACAATCGGGATCTATAAAGGACTGCAATGTTTTGGTTTGGTGTTTCCCCCTTAATTCGTTAATAAGGGTCCAGGTCTCCTTTGCTATGTTTGCTAAATTTTCTAATTGAGAATGGTAATACATATATTTTGCTCTCTTTATAACTGCTCGATAAATCTTTCTGTAATTATTAAAGTAGTAAATAAAAGAACTATCTTGGTAATATTTTCTGATGTGATGCAACGCACGCATTTTTTTACAGGATGTTCTTGTACCTTTAGTAAGCCACTGATTTTTAGTTAATGTATTCTAATATTTTCTGTACCTAATGTTATTTTATCTTTATCATCCTACAAAATGGTAAATGGAATCACAATATTTTTAATTTCTTAATCTAAAACCAGCCACATCTTGATGGAACTTTTATAGCCAGATTTCCTTTTTTTTGATAAAATGATTTTATGGTCGTAGGAAAGTGACTTTTCACACTCGTAATAATACTAAAATTTCAATACAAAAATGTAGCAGTATGACGTAGATTAAAAAATTGAAGTGATGATATGAACGTAAACGTATGCGTAAAAACTGGCTCGTTAACGTCTACATACGTAAGCTTACGAGCTCTGACGTATACACCTAAAGCAAATAAAATAACCCTTTTTAATTGGGAAAGAAGAAATCCTAATACTAATTCATTATCTGTTATGGCACGTAAATGTCACGATGCGTTTAACAACTTCAACTCATATTTTAGACTTCAAACTTCAACGTAAACATTATTTTTGTGCGTTGACGTTCACGTTTACGTTAACGTACTGGAAACTCTCTGTTGAAAAATCCTACTCCTTTCGATTATCTTATAAATGAAGAAGTCTTAGAACGGTGTACAGAGGTAAAGACTTAGTTATCGCCTACGATTGTGTTCTATCGTTTTCTAATCATGTAAAAAATATAGTTAAGGCTGAAAATAGAATGTTGGGGTTTATAATTAGATAATCTAGAAGTTTTACTAACATACAATCTATATATACAAATTCTGTATGATGTTCTAGATACGTTATATCAACACAAAACAAGTTTGTGATAGAAATAAATTCACTAATGTTTTGCATACTGGCGTTATTTGCGGAAGAAGCATTTGAAGATTTTGTAAGTTTCTTTTGATTTGTTAGTTCGAAATTGTAAGATATTTTCGCACACAACAATGGATAATCAAGGATGTCAGCCAATTTCAGAAAGTTTAACTGAGAAACATTTTCCCGTATTATTTAAAGTGAAAGTTTAAGGTAGCGAATCTATCATTGACCACGTCACTGTTTCCTGCTTTCCAGCAAACGTAAATAACGTCCGAAATCGACCGATTCCAAATTATAGGATCGCACTGTATGCACTGCGCGTTTGTGTATGCATAAAGTGTACATAAATCGTCGATTTGTGTGTATTGCATCGGGTAGGCAGATTCTAGAAGTGGGTCACTGGGTTAGTTTTAATGTTTTTATTTATTCAACACACTATTGCTTTCACCAGAGAGACTCCATTTTGATTTCCCTCTCGAAAAAGAAACGTTATAATTTATAATTATCATTTTAAAGATAAGCGTATCAAGCCATTAAATTAGACGGAATTATGATCGTATTATCGTCTCTGATCTTTCGAACGATGCGATGGCGATGCGCCGTTTGGTCCATGAGTGTTGTAAGTTTTTTATGAATGGTTAAAAGACAAAATGTAATTTTTTGATGAAATTATTTTTTGGTCGTAGGAAAAATATTGTATATCACTTGTGTTAAAGTCGTGTTATGTATCAAAGATGCATGAGTGGACGATAGCTACTTTCCTATTAGATATAGAAAAAAAATGCTTCAGATAAAAGTTGTAGAGAGCAATGAAAGCTATGTTTCAAAAATAAGTACCAATATACAGAGTATCCGATAAATGTGTGACTTATCAAAGTAATATTTTATTAGTGAAACTCTCAAAAATATTGGGATGTATGGGTTTATACCAGGAGGTTCGGGATTTGTTACCAAATGGGTTCATTCAACTCCAAATATCATCAATAATTTACAATAAAACATATTATCCACCAAATATCTTAAAAAAAATGTATTTTCATTTAAACATACCGAATAGCGCTTTTCCCATACAGGGACAACCACAACTTGGGATCTGTGGCGACATCATGTTCCCCACATAACCTTATCTTTTTTAGTTTTGACGTATTTGTCATTTCATTTTAAAATTTTTAAGTCGTTTGTATTTGAGGTTGGGAGGTTGGTCAAGCGTCAATGTCGTAACTGATGTTATGGTCATAACGTTGTTAATACCAAAACCTACAGGATCCCCTTTTCTATTTTTTTAAGCCATACCAGTATAGTCAGTACCAGTATACTCAGTATAGTATGAGCTTGCAGAAAATGTATGGTTTGCCTACTTGATTTCCATCGGTAATATATCTAATAATAGTTAAAAGAAACTACAAACGTTACACGGAGCTGCCCACAAGAAGGAATATTATCTCCAATGCTGTGGTCAGTTCTTGTGGACGAATTACTCAAAACATTGTCCAAAGAAGGCCACCAGTGCCTAGGATACGCAGACGACCTAGCAATAATCGTCAGGGGGCGATTTGTAGGCACAGTCTCGCAGCGATCTCAAACAGCTCTAAACATAGTGAACAACTGGTGCAAAAAGGAACAATTGTCCATTAACGCACAAAAAACAACAGTTGCACTATTAACAAAAAACGGGTACTTACAGGACTAAGACCATTAGTACTAAACAACATAGTTATCTCATTCGTCACAGAATACAAATACCTCGTAGTCATATGTGACCAAAGGCTGACATGGAATCAACATATCAAAAAACTCTCATACAAAGCTACAATAGCTCTCGTAAGTTGTTGAAGAATATGTGGAAAAACTGGGGTCTAAACCCCAAAATGACCATATGGTTATACACAACCATGATAATGGTGCAGTGGCGTGGGTAACCAAACTTTCAAATTCAAATACCAGCCCGAGAATCCTAGAAACAGGGATCTCCGGTACAGGCTGAACTCGTCTGGTACACACACGGTTCAAAAACCAAGGAAGGAGCCGGTGCTGGAATCTATGGACCCAAGTCGAAAACAATGATTTCGCTA